TTTTACCACAAAGTAGCCGAAATATGTAAAAGTATCGCTTATCATCGTCAAAAATTAGCAGGATCTAAGGTTGTTCAGTATTTGGATAAAACCGAATTGTCCAATTGGACAATTCGGATTAGACTATTTGGTTCGGATATTTGGATTTTTGGATTGGTTTTCGACAAAACCGAATTATTATTTTGGATTTCGGATTGGTTATGGTTTATAAAATAAGAACCGAATAGTTCAAAAAAACCGAATAACAGTTTATTATTTATTTATTTTTAATATATATCTATAAGTATTTATTAATTTTGTAATTCATTTTTTGAAGTAGGTTCAAAAAGTTTCACCTAATAAAATATATTAATATGCCTTTTCTCTCAAAAGTTTGTTATCTATAAAATATTAAAATATAATATAGCTTCTTAATAGTTGTTTATAAATTTCAAATCATAACTAAATAATTTGTTTTTGTTTCTTGTCTAAAATTCGGTAATATTATAATTATGTCATTTTAAAATGTTTTAGTTTTTAAAAACCGAATTATAAAAACCGATCCAACCGAATTGTAATTGGATCGGATCAGATCTGATTTGAATTTAGTTTGGACTACTCAGATGGTGGTGGTATTTTCCTAATGATTTCTCATTGTAAGCTAGATGAAATGAAAGTGCTTGACAACGATCATAACGATTTTGATGATGAGAGACGACGATTTTGCGTATCCCATTACTTTGTGGTGGAACCAATAAAATTAATAAGAACTATTATTATAATCCGATAAAATAATATTTAGTATATGAAGAAAATAATAAATTAAAAGTAATAATCCAATAAAAAATAATTTAAAAAAAAAAGAAGTTACAAAAATTAACTAAAATATAATAATAATCCAATAATATAATATTTATTATGATATAAATATTATATATTAAAAACTATGTGTATTGATATATAATAATTCAATAAAAAATAATTACTTCGACAATTTTGTTTAAAAAAGAATTAACTAAAATAAATTAATAATCCAATAAAACAATATTTAGTATATGAAGAAAATAATAAATTAAAAGAAATAAAAGAAATAATCCAATAAAAATAATTTGAAAAAAAAAATAAAAAAATTAACTAAAAGAAATTAATAATCCAATAATATAATATTTATTATAATATAAATATTATATATTAAAAACTATATGTATTGATATATAATAACTCAATAAAAAGAATTACTCTAACAAAAAAATTTTTAAAAAAATCAACTATAATAAATTCATAATCCAATAAAACAATATTTATTAATATATAATATTCTATATTAAAAATAATATTCATTAATATATAATACTTCAATAAAATAAAAAAAATGTATGCAAAAATGATCCTTATGGTATGATGAAAGTCAAAATTGGGAAAATGGTTACTGAGGGTAAAATTGTCATTTTAATAAAATTAACAGCCAACCAGTTAAACTTAACGGATGAGGGACCAAAACCACAATAAAACTTATTGAAAAGGATCAAATCTGCAACTTTTCAAACGTTTGGACCATAACCACATAAAATAAAAAATCATAGGGACCATTTTTGCAATTTTGTCAACAAATTAGTATTACATTTCAGCCTATACGATAAAAACCAATCAAGAAAGAAATATATAAAATATTTAAAACATTATTAATCAACCTCGTCTTCCGCCGTCAAAGAACTTAGAATGTTAAAATGAGATTGAAACTCTTATTCTAGAATGGAAATATAATCGGTTAACAGGCAACGATTCTGCAATCCATTTAATGAAATTGCTGATGAGTTTGCCCTATCTTTGGTTTACTTAGCTAGTTTTGGAAAAGCCTTAATCTTTAGCAAATTTGACTATTTTGATAAATTCTTCAATAAAATAATATTATCTAAATCAAAAATTGTTTTAATATGGGATATAATAAAGACCAATATTTAATATCATAAAAATAGTGTGGGTTTGGGGCTGCTTAGAATAGTTTTTACACAAAAACAATATTTTAGTCACAAATAATAAAATGTTTCATTGACACTTAATGCTTAACTATTTTAAGTGTAAACCTAAATTGACATGTCAAATTAATAAAAAAATATCAAAAAATGTATTTTATAATAATTCAAAAAATTTCAAATAAGTGAGTTTTAAATTAGTTAAGAATAATACTAGTTCAACAAAACATAAAGTTATAAATTACGTATGTTACGTAGTTGTACAAAAAATAATATCAAGATCATTACAATTTTATATAACAAATTAGTTGTAAAATACTATATAATTTTAAACTGCACAACATACCGAAATTCACTTGACATATTATATTTTCTTTTGCACAAAATACGTATATGATCTCATAAAATCTTTTGACTTACGTAGATACATGTGGACACAATGTGTTACATATTTGCATAGGATAAAAGTACCATATATTGTACCTCTAAAAGAAACATTTGAAAATTTTCAATATATGCCCGAAGTCGATGAGATTAACCGCTTTTATATGAGTAAGATATAAATAAAATCTAATACATCAATAGAGATAACTTTCATGTGTTAAACAACACATGAGATACAAAAATAAACTTAAAGTACAAGTGTCAAACTGTAATTCATAAACAAATATATGTTCAAATAGTCTAACACCTAAGGTTATCACCCGGCGTAACACCAAGTTGGTTGCAATAGTCTGTGTAATACCTAACACGAGAACTTACTGTATCTGGATTAGCTCCATCACATTCGAGTTGTCCATTGATGACTCGAATAGTGGCTCCAAACCCTTGGCCAGAAAGTAAGACCGATTGGACATTGTTCATCCAAAACCACAATGCGGTTCGAAATGAGATAAGTGGATCTGTAGCCACGATTTCAGGATTGTTCAATCCATCGAACCCGATGCTCCTCCCTGCTGGACCATAGTTGAAATTCCATGATAGTTGAATTGGGCCTCTTCCATAGTACCCTTTGCTAGGGTTACATGGGTATTGAGTGTTATTTTCATCACAGTAATCCCTTGAAGGACCATTTATTTCTTCAATGTAGCAAAAATCTGATAATCATTCATGCATGCAAAAGTTAACACAATACTCAATTTGATATTTCACGTCGGTTTTAGTTTTGTCCCTACAATAATATATTTGGGCTAAATACGAAAACCAACTTAATTTCATTCATTTATGCGTATCATCATTTTATTTATTTCTATTAAAACATATTAATGTATAGTACTACTTAAAAGAAATACTAAAATTAATATCTCGTACATTTAGTTTTTTTTCATCATATTACTTTGAAAATCCGCAAAAATATAACCATGACTATTGCACTTTTGTACATATTTGGAAGAATTAATTTTGTTTTGGTAAGCTTCTTGCTAGTTTTGCCATAATATATGTCGTCCTTTTTTGCCCTTCAAAAAAAAAACTTATTTGGAAGACATTGCTATTATCTATTTTCTAACCTAAAACGGTAAAACCTCAAATTATTTACATGGTTGAATGATTTTGTAACGTTTTTTTAAAGATTGTATGGTTTTATAACGTTTTAAAAAATTTGGTAAGTTTAGTAAAGATTTTTATCTACGTGATAGGAGATAGATGGAAGATTGAGCTTACGTCCAGTTTCATGAGTGACATGTGCGAAGAAAGCTGCGATCTCTCGCCTGGAATCTTCTTCCGTACCAACCCTACCGAATTGAGGATAGTTTCCGATAGCTTCCAGGAAGGCGGCGCGTGTATAAAACCCTCTTCCTTCACAACTGGCGTCAGATTGGTCCACGATTCCATTGAAGAATGAATCTGTCACGACGTTAGCAACCGATACATCATTCGTCGGAGGAGGTCCGAAGCACGGCCCTTCCTGACATCCGGCTCCACAGTACGCTTCGTCACTGCCGCAAAACCCAAACTGGCTACAGCACAAATCCGGACTACAGCCACAGTTCTGGGCGGAGATGTGGAGGATACCGGCGAGAAGTACGCCGACGACAATTAGAATGGAGAATGTTTTCATGGTGGTTTGTATGATTTAATTAGTGGGGAGTGGAAGTGCATTTATAGTGTGTGAATGGTGTGCGTAGAAAGTAGGGAGGACAAGTGGTGTTATTTAGTTTGACTTGGCATTTAATAGTTGACTATGAAATATCTAAGACGACTTTGAAAAGAAAAAGTCTTCTAGACTACTTTTTCAAATATGAAAAATAGTTCTTCTATACTATTTTTCAAATAGGATTTTTTTTTCTTTGAAATATATAAGAGGACTTCGAAAAAAAGTCTTCTAGACTACTTTTCAAATAGTAAAAAGAGCCTTTATATCAAGTCTTTTTGTTATGTAAAAACAATGATTTATTGTATGAAAACAATTTTACAAGACATGAAATACTTAATTTGGACCATCATTTCATGACTTGCTTAGTATGCTTAACAACGCTTAATTTCATACTTGTTAAAACTTTATTGTTCTTACCAAAAATAGTACTGACATAAGTGTTAAACATGTTGAAGTTTTTTAAGAAAATCTTGGATATGTTTTTTAAGGTATCATGGATATTTAAAAGATGGGTTTTAGTATTTGATTACTCTAGTCTCTAGCAATAATATCATGAATCTTGAAATTAGATGTGGTTTTCAACAAAATATTGAAAGTGCACTTGTTGAGTTGTTTTGTAGAGCATGTGATAAATATATGAAGAACTTTAGATGCATCTCCTGTAATATCATAATTTTGTTAGCATGTGATAAAGATCCCTTATACTATTTTTCCATCTTCATAGCCCTTAAAACATCATTGGTTCTATAGAAAGTACAAGGAAAAATGCTAGAGATGAGTCCAATAGGAAAATCAGTTGGGTAGCATGGAAAAAGTTGTTTCTCCCAAGAAATTAAAGGGCTTGAAATTGGGTGTTTAAGGAACTTTAATGTTTCAAAATGGTGGTGGAGAATAAAAATGGATGGAAATAGCTTATGGCTACAATCTATAATGGCAGTTCATAACTTTAATGGCATGATGATCACGAGTGCTCGTTTAGATGGATCGGTTTGATCTAATCCAATTAATTAAATCCAAATGGATTTCGGTTGTTTATATGGTATACTTATAATATATTAACAAATCACAACTAACCTCTTTCGCAAATATCCATCCTATCAGATTGTTCTGGTGAAGGCAACCTAAAAGGACCATGTTACTCTCGGGTCAAGTACCAATTATAGTTATGAGCTTAGACACCTAATCCAACAGAGATAACGTATGGATTCATTATACAAGCTCTGTTTTGTTGATGATTCCAGGACGTAATCATCCTAAGGAGAGATAATTGTAACGCCCGCAGATTCGGGCTAGTCAATTTAGAGACAATAAGCGTCAAAAATAACTTTTTGATTGAAGATTATTTAGAGTAGATAATCTTAACCAAGTTATAGTATATGTCACAAGGGTTCCGTACATATAAGGAACGTTGAAATCTGAATTATAACGAATAAGTTATGACCCGTTAAAGTTTTACAGCTAAACCGGCACGACACCGCGTAACGTAAAAAGTGAATTTATGATAAAATACTTTTTAGACTTAGAGATCTAAATGAAAGTTGTAGTATATGTTAAACCGAGAGTGTGCACAAAAAGAACGTCAAAATCTGACTTCGTATGAAGAAGCTATAATTTTTCTAAGATCTCGCATAGCAGTATACAACCCGGAAATCGAATTTTAGATCGAGCGATTTTAGCCGAACAACCTAAATGAGAATTGAATATCTCACAAATAGGATTTCAACGATAAAAAGACAGTCGAAAATGGAGTCCGTATGTAAAAGTTTTGAATTTTATACGACCGTTAACAATGTAATCTTCTCGTACCGTTAAATATAAAATCGATCGAGAATTAGTCAATGGAGTCAAAAGGAGAGTTGTAGATCTTGTCAACACATACGCGTGGATATAAAGAACATCGAAAACGGAGCTCGTATGCGAATGTTACAGAATTTAGAAGCCGGAAGGGTGCTGTTGCGAAATGGGTGATGTGGTTTAATCTGGACCATTGCTTTCTCCTCACGCCTTGCCACCAGATGGTGACATGTGGCACCAACTCGACGAGTTGGGTCATTTTTCAGTCTATAAATACCATGTGAAGCTTACCCTTTTTCCTCACACCATAACCATTCTCTCTCTCTAACTTCTTTTTAAACCTCTCCCAAAGCCCTAGTAACTCCTAATTGCTAGAGCAAAGTCCCGGAGTGCTAGAAGGCTCCGAGAACAAGAGCTTTCGGCTCGGCAGTTCTGCCCCCACAAAGCCCGGTTCCCAACCAAACCTCCCGGTAAGTGAGTTATGCTTACCCTACTTCAAGTATAGCTTATGTTTAAGTTCAATATCGTTATTATAACGTATAAACTAAGCAGTTATCGCGGTCATAATTTTAATAGTGGCCACATGCCACAATTTGAAATCGCGTTTATCGCGGTGGTATAGCGGTGATATAACGTTTTTTAATATTATATATAATTTATATTATATGTTTATATAAAATTGATATATTGGAGTATTAATACAATATAGAATTAATATCATAGAAAAAGACATATATAATCATCACATAAACCATATATATAATATTATAATATAGTAATATGGTAATTAAAAAGTGTCAAAGTGTCATTACACTCAAGTCGTTTGTGGTTTCTTAGTACAAAAAGAGACGAGAAAGAGAAGTTGTCATTCGTTGTTTGGTAGTTTCCAGTTAATTAGATGTATTATTTGGACTTATTAAAAAAACAAGTTTAGTGGACGAATTAAAAAATACAGATGTAATATTGAAATAGCCCACAATCGGTTTTTTCTTTGTCAAAGTAGCCAAATGTACGAAATTGTAAAAGTGGGTGTAGCGTCGCTATAGCGTTGATGGGGTTTGTGGTAAATAGTGGCCAATAGCGCCGATAATAGTGTCACCGCTATTCGTAAATGCTATTTCCAAATAGCGATTCAGTATCACCGCAAAACGCTATAGCACCGCTATAGCGCACTATTGATAGCATAGCGTATAAACAATAAATATTTATAAAATATAATATACAAAGTGTTACTATAATATATTTTAACTATTCGTGATACGGAGAATCTGGTTTGAAGGGCCGCATAGGGTTGTTGGATTTCAGAGGTGCTATAATATCAAAATGGTCCTGCCCTCCGGTGTTTCATGTCTGGCTCCTGTCTATACATAGTAGTTGAAAATTGTTGTTTAACACTTACAAAACAATATTTCTCGTAAATAGTCGTTATAAATATCAAACAAAAATCTAGCGGTAATGATACTAGGTTTCATCGAAGAAAAAGACGATTATTAGAAGCGAAACGTTGTCCGAATTTCGAGTCATCACTTCAACAAGTGAGTGCATAGTTGTAACACCGAAAATTTTCAAAACAAATTTTGCATTTAAAATCACATAATTCTCATAATGCATTTCACAAAAATCTCATTTATTTAATTTACAATTCGCAACTCCATATTTGTTTGGTTAAAATCCAGGATCCTCAAATACATAACTCTTTCACTGGTGTGTACAATCAAGCCGGTGCCTTCCCGCGATCCTGAGCAAAACCTGAAACACATAACACATAACACGGTAAGCACAAAGCTTAGTGAGTTCCCCAAAATACCACACACACAACTTTTTAGGCACTCGAGGCTATATCACTGTAAGACCCTATGGTGAATGTGTCACAGTGGGACCCTCCGGTCCCATACTCGGGTGGACCCTCCGGACTTAACTCAGGAAGCTCATAATGATAATACTCAGCATAAATCACAAAGACATAATGTAGAATATCACAATACACAGATAAGCACATAAGACATCTCGTTCACACAAAGATACCACACATGGTAAGTATAGTGAGAAGAATCGCCTCGCAAGCAGCAAACAATTATCCTCGAACGAGCCACTACCTAACACATAGGGTAAATATCTCTAATTAATACTCGATTTTCGACTCTAAGTAACCAAATGTTATCCTTCTCTCTCTAACTCTTGAATTTGGTAAAAGATCATTTTACCCCTCCATGGTCTCCATTACTCATGTTGACCAAACCCTAGAGTCAACGGAAGTCAAACTCGAGTCAACAGTCCATGTTTGACCCAACTCGTCGAGTGCACTCTTGCGACTCGTTGAGTCCCCTCGTTTTCTTAGAACTCTCAACAAGTCTAGCTCAACTCGTTGAGTTGACCCCCAACTCGCCGAGTTATTGCACGCTCAAGCTCATCGGGACAAACCCTCACCGACTCGTCGAGTCAGCTTATGGACTCAGCGAGTTCCTTCGATCTGATTTCTCATTCAGATGTCCAAGGCCAGATCTACCACACTAGACTCTAGATCTAGCCCTTAAATGCACAAAGTGGCTTAAAGTCTCGACCTTTACGTTCATGCATGGCATATATGCCCCAAATGCCAATACAAAGTCTAACAAAGGGTTAGGTGCTCAAAATATGGTCTCTAGCTCAATAAAGTTCAGGCCTTTGGGCTCTCAAGACCCACACTTCAGATATGAGGTTTCAACTTCAAATCATACACAAAAGGCTCAAAGACTCTAAGCAATGGAAGAAAACCCTAGAAAAACTCCCATTTCAAAATCTCCCTAAAAGATGAGCAAGTTAGCATATTTACCTCAAGAAAACACTGATGAACCTGTGGATCCCAAGCTTCCTCTTGTCCCAACCTCAATACTCTTCACTCCTCCTTCCAAGAATGCACCAATAACCACGAACTTAGCTCCCCACTCACTTTCTAGCTCTAATGGCGATTAGGGTTTTCTCTCAGGGGTGTAAGGTAATTGGTAAGGCGGAAATGGGGGCATCAGTTCCCTTATATAGGCACCAACCCCGGGAAATTAGGGTTTCTCTGCCTAGCACCTACTCGATGAGTCAGCTCTCTGACTCATCGAGTCCACTCATTAATTCCCACGTGGTAACTCAACCCTACTCGGCGAGTTGGACTCCCAACTCGTCGAGTTGCTCCATAAATTTCAAA